AGGTGCAGCAGATCCAAACCAATGGCAGCGCTTTTGCTGCCATTCTTGCCGATGGATCTGTCATAACCTGGGGTCTTTCTGCCGAAGGTGGTGACAGTAGTGATGTGCAGGATCAGCTGAAGAATGTGCAGCACATCCAGGCCAGCGGTTTGGCATTTGCTGCCATTCTTGCCGATGGATCTGTTGTGACCTGGGGTGATCCTGAGCAAGGTGGTGACAGTAGTGATGTGCAGGATCAGCTGAAGAATGTGCAGCAGATCCAAGGTAGTAAGAGTGCCTTTGCTGCCGTTCTTGGCGATGGATCTGTCCTCACCTGGGGGCCGGAAAAGGAAGAGGAGGAGCTGGAGGAGCTGGTGGAGGAAGACGAAGAGGAACAGGAGGAGGAAGAGGAGGAGGAGCTGGACCTGCTAGTGTGAAGAGCCTCTCTCAGCCTTCCACTGATTGTCTCTGCAGCAATTTGAAGCAGTAAATCTTTCCTGCAGAGTGGTTGCACCCCACCCCGCGCAATGCAAGCCCTTGGAACCAGTGTGACTCGAGGCCTGCCCGTGCCTTGGCTTGTGCTTCCAGTTCTAAGGTAGGGCTTAGAGGGGTTAGGAGCATCCGTGTGCACAAGATTATTTTCTGTCAACATCTAGCCGCAGCCTTGCAAGAAAGGTATATAGCAACTCGTGAGTACCGTGCCAGCAATGCCTTGACAAACAAGTTTGGAAGGTGAAATGGCCAAAAGACTTTCTTCGAAAAAAGCAGAAACTTCCTCCTTAGTCCTTAACGTCGTCGAGAATCGAGAATCTTTGCGCTCCAGTGCTTCAGTTCACCAGGTCGAGAACGTGGATATTTACATCGCCAACGAGGCCTGGAACCGACGCGGCTTCGGGTTGAGCGTTCAGGGCTTAGGGTGCAGAATTTCCCAATACGGTTAAAAAGTTTAAGTTTTAGGATCAGTTTGGCACAGTGCCGTGGAACTGAAGGCTTGGATGCCGTTCACTCGTAGTAGGCATGTGAACTTCAAGAGACAGGTGGCTCTTCAACATCTGAGCTTGGAGGTCCAGGAGCAAGTCTTCACGCCACAGTCGCCGTACTGAAGAATGTAATGTGCATTATTGCATTCTACCCTTAAAGCCCAAAACCGATGTACACATCCTGCCTTGTCTGGTTACCGCATGATGCTTGGTTTTAGTGTTTCCCTTCTTTCTGAGCAGTTCAAGAGTGCTCGTGGCCCAGCTCCACTCTAGCATAAGCCACGCATATTCACTCCCTTGCACTTTGGGAGCCCTCGAACTTTTTTCGATTTCGGCTGCCACCCCGCATCTCTGAACTGGAGCACTGGAACTCCTGGGCTTCCTGACATCCAAACTCTGATGACGGAGACGCGATTTTGCACCGTCACTGGTCATGCGATCGCTCTCAACAGCTGGTCCTTAGCTTTAGTCATCGCGAATAGTCATTGCAGCGTGTTCCTTGCTGAGTGGTGAGGTGACGACGTGGCACCTGGCCTTGCACTTCCCTCCCGAGGCGCCCTTTACAGGACGCTGTGTTGACTGCACGGATTCGTGTTTGGATGCTTAGCCTATAGGGCCAAGACCGAACTGAGTTACCGACACTAGATGACATGACTCCTGAAATAGGACCTGGATCATGTTAATGAACAGGAACATTGCCGTCATACTTCCGCGACATTAATACTGTCGTTTCAACACTAATCCTCGTGACGACGATGACTACAACCACTGCTACTACTACTGCTGCTGCTACTGCTACTGCCGCTGCTACTACTACTGCTCGATCACTCAGCCATGCAAGAAGCAAAAACTACCACCACTACCAATTATTGCCAAAATTGATTGTCTGGGATCGTGGGTATTTCTTCCAGATATTATCCATACAAATCACTGTTCTTTGCGGCCAGCTCGAGCTTGGTGCTGTACTAGAGGTTTGTTTAAAGGCGATATGCTGTGTAAGCTTGTCCACGTTGCGCCACCAATCAAGCCGCCGGCTTTTGAATACAGGTCCTGTGGTAGCATACATTCACGAGCTTTCGACACTCAAAACAAGCATCTGCCAGTTGGCGAGTAAGCAACCACCAGCTTGCAGCAGCCTCACTCAGAACCTACACGACCTAAGCCCTCATACTCGCCAAGCGGGAAGTAACAATCTCGAGCAACAAAGTTCGAATCTAGCTGTCTCATATCCCAAACCCTAAACTCCTCTCAGAGATACCCGTGGTCACGAAAACCTACCTTCTTCAGGAATTCCACATGGACGCCCCAACAAGGAACCCTTGAAAGAATTTGTTTCTGCAACAGGTTCAGCCCGTACTATAGGGGTTTTGATAATTGCCTATTCTCTATTGGGGGGTTCCTTATTATAGTTATAGTATAGTTGCCCCCAAACCCTATTCTAATTATTAAGGCCCCTACAGTAATCCATTGCTCCAGGAGGCTCCGGCTGTGTCCTTCAGGCTTCGTCCTTTTCGCTCTACGCCACGCTCCCTGGCTGCGCAAAGTCTTGCGTGGCTTAAATAGCAAGAAGCTCCATCGGGCGTGTTGGGTTGAAGGTTTTACGGTTTGGGGTTCAGGGTCGTAGACTGGCTAGACTTGAATCCAGTAGCAAAAAGGGGCCCAAATTATTTTACGCAAGGGAAGGTCATTTCCGAGTTCATCCCATGCCGAGACCCTGACCCCCACCCTACGTTTCTGCCACCATTCTGAAACAGTATCCTAAAACCCACTTCACGCCACATAACTAAATCCCTACAGTAGCCTTATCCAACTGAGACCTGATGGGTGAGTAAGAACTCACCAAAGCCTTGCGACCAGCCTTAAAAGAAAACCACGCCCAACCCATCTACGCTCACCCGCCCGAGGAAAGCTCTCCGACCTGTTAACCGTCTTCAAACACGTAGCAGCCTTGACAACCATCAGACTCGAGCGTGTACCGCCTTCCTAGCCTGCTTGATCCGTTTTCGAGGAACTGGTGTCCCAGCAATGAAAAGATTTTCCGTGATTTTCCATGTCCATCTGACTAGCTGACCACACCAAGAATAGCTGAAAGTGCCTAATGCCCAGCAACACATACGTGCGCCCAAACCGCAAACCGGCGATGTCTACCAGAGTCGACCACTACAACACGGTCCTCTTTGCCTGTATATCACAGTTTGCAGTACTTCTTTTGCAGCATGTTCGCGTGCACTCTCCATCAGCAGACGTTTCTTTCTTTGTCGCCCACGCTCAAGCCTTTTAACCAAGTCAATGCTTGTGCGTTTCTTTCCTGACTTGTGCGGCATGGCGGGGGATGCTAATGAATCCCCACCCCAGTCTTCCAGACATCTTAAACGAAGGCGACCAGGGTCTGTTGCTGCTTCGTACCTATTCAGTCTACACAATTTTCAGTTTGTGCCAGCACGGCTATCCATTTTGCAACTCGCAAGGTGGATCGGCTTTTTTGGCTGGTTGAATGCAGATTCTTACCTCTGCAGCTGCAGAAACACCTGTTCTGGCTCATCCAGCTCCGAGCTGACAAGATCTTGGCTGGATGGGTGGCAGGAATGCCGCGGTGTGGGATGGCAGCAAGCGCTGATGAAGACACGGTAGGATAATCGCCGGAGGGGCTGTGCTGTCCACGATCGCGGGTGCAGCCTGTGCAACTTGACCAGTGGTATCACCAGCCGATGATGTTGGGAGCGCAGTGCAGCCATGGCGAGTTAACAACTTCCACTGCTGCCTGCCAAGCGATTGAGTCGTCTGGATGTCAAGCTCCCGTCACCCCGTAGTGGAACACGCGTGCTTGGCACTGGTGGGGAAAAACAATGGAGTGTGATTCGTCAGCAGATTCAGAGCAGTTCGCACGGTTTTTCCCAAGTCCAAGTCCCAGACGCTGGAGCGCCCTTTTTGGGGTTTAGGCTTTCGTTTATTAGGTTTGTTTCGGGTTAGGGTTAAGATGAGAGGAGAGAAGAGACATTTCGGCTCAAAATATTCGAAAGGTTATATCTATAGTTTTTTACACGTTTCATAATCAGGGTGTGGGCGCGGGATGAACTCGGAAAAGACCTTCCCTTGCTCTTTAACTCGGAAGTTTTCACGAGGCTCCTGTGGAACTTAGCTGTCTCAGTGGGACACTTGGTATCTTTCAGTGGCAGCTTCAATACGTTCAAAAGATTCGTGGGCTAAGCAAATTGAAGCTATGAAGTATAAACTTTTGGATTCTACTCGTGGACCTCTTCAATGCGTGTCAAGGGTTAGAAGGACTTCCTGTCATGCACATCCCACACTACTAGGACGACTGTTCGTGCCGATTACGGCTACTCCGAACGCCGCTGGCTAACCCGAGGTGAAGAGGTGGCGATTAATAGAAAAAGGAGCCTGTGCCCGGGACTGCACTGGCCTTCAAATCCGATTTAACTCCGCCTTCTTGTGGAGCAAGAAGAAGATGAAATTCTAAAAGTGCAATCTGCGGCTCCCTATCTGCCTTATCTCTTGCAGTAACTTCTGAAGCTCCAACACAACGTCGAACATCTCCACCCCGGTTCGCATCCATCCCCTTCCCACGCCAGGCTTACGTTTGGACCAGTGCTGGCCTCATTCATGGTTTTAGCTTGAGGCTTGAGGACAGACAGAAGCACAGAGAAACATAAAGATTCATGCGCATGTTGAACCATCTTGGTTCAACAACTGTGGTTGCTGTTTCTGCACTTGCGGAGCCGCAGTGCTCGGCATCGCAAGTCCCGACGCCCGGCAGGCGAGGAGACTATAGCACATGCTAGCACAGAGCTTGCATAGACGGACATGCAACTGCAAATAAGGTTTCCTTGGTTACAGCCGTTCCTGATGGGCCCCTTTTGCGTTTCCATGTTGTATAGTTCGCTTGAGCCCGAAGCACCTGTGACCCGCGCAAGAGCCTGGTTCGGTCCTTGTTTCGTGAAAAGCCCTGAGATGGGCCGTTGGCGAGGGCCGTGACCGTTGGTGGATTGTAACCTCTGGATGCACAAACGAGTCCGTGAGTCTATGGTTGCGGCTGATACTCAGCTCATGGCACACATGTCTCATTAGCAACCCTCAAGCTTTGCCTGCCTTGCCTTGCGCGAGTGTGATTGTCGATACCCCTGAACCCCATGCAAGCCCTAAACATCCCTATAATCCCTGAAACCCTCTTTAGAAAGTGCGTGACTCGAAACCCCACGCAAAGCCTAAAACAGAGGACTTCCCAGCGCGGCCTCCGAAGTTCAAGTTCGAGTCGAAGTGGCTCGGGCCCTCGGCAGATGCCTCTTGTTCACCGTCTTCAATCCAGGGTTCAGGGTTTAGCTTCCCCGAGGGTTTCAATTCACAACTCGTGCTAGTGGGGTACCTGCTTACCTTATCGATCTAATGCCATAAGAACAATATAAATGAGGACTGAATTATGTAAGAACATAGCAACGTGTCACTGCTTCCCTTTTTGTTGGATGATCGCCAGGCATTTTCGTTGAGATTAGGACAGAATCATTCGTGTGTCAAGCTGTTGATGGTACTGCAGCAGCAAAACATAATTCAACACGCTAATGTCCTATCTGTGTTATTACACCTCACTGTAATGCATATTGGCGTTTTGCATTGTATGATATCGGTAGCCCTGTAGCCCTGGATTTGGGAATTGGTCCGCGTGCGTGCGGGATGACACACCATCCTCAGGCTTCGGTTCCACCTATGAGTGGCATAAAATTATCCGTACATACTTGCATACATACCTGTGATGTGGCTTCGAACAAACAAGTTCTGTTGTCTTGCATCATTTCCCGTGGTAGCGATCATGAGTCATGAGTGAAGGTTCGCCCGCTAACTAAAGGCGCAAGACTGCGCTGTCGAGGGAGTTTCTTTTCACACCTCCACGGCCACCAGCCCTAAACCTCCTGGCAGAGAACTAGAAAGCCCTTTGCTGAACCCACAGCGGTGGTCGAACTAACTCCTACCAGTCCTTCATCTTGTATAGTTTCCGACCCTCAACTCTCGAGGCACCTCAGATCCTAGACCCGATAGCCAGGCCCCTAAACAACGTTCACGACTTTGATGCTTTACCTTCGAGGATAAATCACCAGCACCTGTTACGGCCTCAGGGGTATCTGGGGGCTGCATTGCTTCAGTGCTTGGGTTCTGCGGGAGCATGGGACTTTGTGAGTTTTGCGCTTGCGGCTGGGTCCGCAGAATGGAATCTTTCAGCAGTGCCCCCAGTCAATGTGAGCTTTTCGGTATAGTCAACGCCTCACAGCAAGCCGACGAAGGTGCTGAACAACAGCGATGCCCATGGTTAAGACTACTGCTTCCTCCTGCTCCTGCTACTGCTGCTACGTCGGCCACTGCTACTCACTACTGCCATTACCAGTGCCATTTCTACTGCCACTACTGACGCCACCACCACCAGCACCGCCGCCACCGCCACCACCACACTCCGGCCACCGCCACCACCACCCAACTACTAATACGACTACCACGACCACTACCACCACTGCTACTACCACTCTACCACTACTACCACTACTAACACTACTACCACTACTACTACCACTACTACTACTACTACTACTACTACTACTACTACTACTACTACTACTACTACTACTACTACTACTACTACTTCTACTTCTACTACTACTTCTACTTCTACTACTACTACTACTACTACTTCTACTTACTTCTACTTCTACTTCTACTACTTCTACTACTCCTCCTGCTACTAGTGCCACTGCCACTGCTACTGCTACTCCTACTACTACTGCTGCTAATCCTACTACTACTGCTTCTACTACTACTGCTGCTGCTTCTACTCATACTACTACTACTACTACTACTACCACCACCACTACGACTGCTGCTACTACTACTACCACCACCACCACCACTACGACTGCAGATACTACTACTACTACTACTACTACTACTACTACTACTACTACTACTACTACTACTACTACCACTACCACTACCACTACTACTACTACTACTACTACTACTACTACTACTACTACTACTACTACGACTACTACTACGACTACTACTACTACTACTACTACTACTACTACGACTACTACTACTACTACTACTACTACTACTACTACTACTACTACTACTACGTCTACCACTACCACGACCACGAAACAGACGATGACGTTGACCACAACTTCTATTGAATAGACCACAACAGCAGGTGGGGCGATCGCATTTGCCACTCGCTGCTGTCTGACGACTTTCTGGACGGCGCCGGGGTTTCGATCGAGTGAATGGGTCCCGAATCAGCCTGATGCTCAATCCGTACAAGGCCCTCAAACCCCTAAATGCGGCAGGAGGAGGGAGTTGCTTGCCACGTGAGACCTGATCCAAGCTTTGACGCCTCTGCGGTTCAGAAAGACATCGGATGGGACAACCACCACCTGTTGCATGTTCTTGAACAGTGATGGCAAGCCTCAACCCTTGCGTGTATCCCGCCCGGATCGTCCGCGGGGATTGCTGGCATAACCCTAGCAGTCCGCATTGCAGACCCTCCGCTCTAGGACTTCTTCCGTGAACGGCGGACACACAGCACCAGTCTTTGGCTGATGCCTCAGCAAGGTTACAGGGATTAGGAAAACGGACATAAAAGGACCCTATGTAATCTACCCTTTCTCTCAACCCAACTTTACATGTTAGCTCCCTCATGAAAGTGCATTCTTATCGCAGGCCTCGCAAGACGTTAGCTTTTCGGAGGAGTAAGTTCAGAAGGATTCAAATTTCGGGAGAACAAATTTAGATAATTTAGGCCTCGCATTTTGGATTTTAAGATCACGACTCGATGGCCCTATTGAAGAACACGGTGGATGTGTCTGGCAGGAACGCTTCGTGCGCTCTCTCGGACGAGGACCAGATTTAGATGCGTCTCTTGAGCGGCCGTTTTTTGCATGATATTTTGTTGGAACTTCAATCCTACATCCTTGCTTTGAAGGATTTGTTTGATGCATTCGAACGCTGGTGAACCCTGCTGGAATGGAGAGTTGTTCCATGGACGGAGTCGCAACAGGGTGTCCGAGGTGTCATACTTGCTTGGATCTTGTTGTGGGGCGTCACATCAAGAAAGTCAAACTGCAACATGGTCTTAATCATTTAGATGACATCCTTGTGCTGGGGATAAGCCTCTCTCTTGACATGTTTCCTTCCAGTTATCGGCTTTTTGCTCGTGTGGGAGTGTCGTCTCTCCAAGCCGCGAGGAAGAGATAGAGAGACAGAGAGAGAGAAGTAGGTATGCAGGTATGTCCTCTTCACTGGCACAGAAGGGCACATACCGACGGCACCGGGCTCTGCACCAACCTCCACCTGCTTCGTCAGCTCGCTGCGGCAGGAAGGGCTGGGCGGCATGTCCCGAGCCGAGCGAAGCCTGAGGGCTCTTCGGTTCTTTTGCAATTTTGCGCCGTAGAAAGTTGTGTTGACATTGCTGAGCTGATGGGTTTTTGTCAGTACAGGGAGGGATCGTCGAAGGCGGGGTTGGGATCCGAGTAGCAACTCGCTGTGTGTTGAGCATGGCCTTGTCCGTCGCTAGTTTGTGCGGGGTCTACCGCGTTTGACCTCCGAGGCCCCGCTATCTGCAGATTCTCCGCGAGTTCCTGGGCTGCGACTCTGACTATGACGAGGAGCAGCATGCGTGGCTCTCGGCGACCTAAGAAAGCCCACCATGTGACGCGGTTGAGGGGTTTTAGTTTGTGCAGACAATTGGGAGCTTCTGAAAATGAGCGGTACCTTATTTTGGGGTCCTTATAATAAGGACCATGTAGGGTACTATGTTAGTGTCCCCTATTTGCGGAAACTCCAATTTCGGCTTGACAGGAGCCTGGATGGATAGCAGGATGATTTCCCCACAGACCCTTCAGCACTTGTTACGAAGTACACATATGATTGTTTGTACATGGACACATGCAGGCGTACACGTTTTTGCGTGTTATATATATATATATATATATGTAATATATGTATAAAGATAATACAGATACACTACATACATATATGTACATAGAGAGAGAGAGAGAGAGAGAGAGAGAGAGAGAGCTCGAACAGGAAGCAGATACACATATATGCACATGCATGCGTGTGCAATCAGATGCTGGGATGGACTCACCAGATACAGGAAGCGACAGGCCTTTTGAGCAAAGGTCTCAAGGAGCAGAAACTCAAGATGTGGGATTTCAGGCCTGGGGGCCTCATTTACAGATTGAGACTGAGGCATCCGTCCACAAATAACCAAAATGTTGGAGGGCTTCTAATTCTTTTCCAGCAATCGAACTCTGCATCAGTGGGCTGTCAGAGATGTTACGGCATGGTATGGCAACGATGCACGGAATATGCTTGTATGTATGTCTGTAAGAATGCATGCATGCATGAGTCTATGTGCATTCATGAAGATGGTTTGTGCTCTACGGAGGGCGGGGCCCTAGGGCTGGGAGCAAGCAAGCAAGCAAGAGAAACAGACAGAGACAGAGCGGGGCGAGGCGGCGCATGTCCTGAGGACTGCCGACGTCGTCCCTCATGTCCTGAAGAAGAAGACAAACAGACAGAGGGACAGACAGACGGAGAACTTCCTCGGCCGAAGCTCCTCACGGTGAACATAGATCATGACTGGTCCTTTTGTCAGCATCATTCTTATTGTTATTCTGACTGTTATCCTTTTAGTAAAAGTAAAGTCAAAGTACTGTTATTCTAATTAGTATTATTCTGGTTATCTTTCTCACCCGTAATGAGGCTTCCAAGGTCTAGGCTGCGGTACACAGCCCAGGTCAAGTACGATGCCAGCTCCCTTGAGGCTGATGCCACTTGTCGGCATTTAGGGTTGTTTAGGGTTTGAGGGTTTAGGGTTTGCGGGTTTAGGGTTTGGGGGTTTAGGCAAACTACCAGGCGTCCTTGCAAGCAAGCCTGCAGCAAAAGGGAAAAGGGTTTGGGGGTTTAGGGTTGAGGGGTTGAGGGGCAGCTTAGCAGAACAGCTGAACGAGTTTATCCTGAAGACTTCGGACCTAGGCATATAATTACCGAGTTGGATGCATGTGTGTTGCTTGCTGCTAGTTGCACAGACATGTACATGCATGTGAATGCAAACGCAAGCACGGCCCTTTCCCCGGATGGAAGCCTTCAAGTAACCCTTGTAGTATCCCTCAAAGCACTAAAGTTTCCGAGCAACAGTAAGTAGTACTGTAATCCTTACCAGAGCTGCGAGGTCGCCGCGCAAAGATCCTTCAAGCCTGAGTGGTGGGAGGTCGGATTATCGGTTGTTTCCTGAGACCGACCTGCGGAAGTTCAACCCCAAGCTGCAAAAACCGTAAATGCCCTGAGCCCGAAACGATGAACATTGAGGCTCTCAAGGGAGTTGAGTCTGACTTCTTCTCACTCTGAGTTGCTCAAAGCTTTCTCGGGCCTTGTAGACCCGCAGGACTTGGCAGTCCCAAAGACGGCTTCGGAGCAGTAAGACCGTGTTGAGCCTGGCTTCCCTCAAGGCCCGAACTATTCCGAAGTTAGGCCGAGTGGGACCTTGACGGATGATGACTTGGAAGTCCAGCCTTAATACCAGTTGTTCGAATGAACCTCCTTCTACACCCCTTTACGAAGCCTTCGTGCCATTCCTCAATTCGCCCTCAGAGAATCTTGCAAGCGTTCAGGGGACCCTGAATATATGATGAAGATGCCCTTTGCAATGCAATGGAAGTTTGCTGCAAGATCTGTAATACGTATATGTGTCATTCAAGTGGAGCTGCTTCGTGCGGGTCATACGATTTGTAGCGGTTTTGGTGGTGTTCTACCAACAGCCACGGTAAAGGGCTCAGGGATTCGGACGTCTGCGCTTTTCAATCTGGAACTGACTTTTTCCAGGGTCGGCATTGGATAGGCATTCAAATCACTGATTTTTCTCCTCTCGGTCAGGAGAGCTCCCGTCTGGAACCGGAGGCATCTGCCACAACACAGCCGGAGGCCACAACCATTGATGTATGTACTGTATACATATTATATATACACATATATATCTATGTAAACAACAACTATGTGTGCAACGGTTGACAGCCGCAGAATGATGGTTTGGTGAAAAGCTGTGTAAGAATGTAAGTTCAGCATGCTTCTCTCTCGCGTGGAGAATGCACGCGCAGAATCGAAAAGCGGAACAGCATTGAGTGGTTGCAGGCAATTCATGCAAGGACTTAAAACCTGTTCCCTGACAGCCTACAGTGGCCTAGTAATATGAAGAGACCTTCAAAATTAATAAGCCTATTCAGGCCCGAATTTTACAGACCTGAAGCTCAGCTCGCCATACACCGAAGTTACGAGATCTTACGAGCCCTCTTCTCTGCGAGGCAGAAGCTGCGCAATCGAAGGAGGAGGTGCAGCAGGGACCCATTCACAATGGACATTGTGGTTTTGTTGTTTTGGCAGGGCGGCGGTTGAGGCGGGGAATCTTATTTCACTCGTTCCCCATACCCCCTGCGATGTCCATATTCTTTGCATGATCAAAGCCAGCTTGAAGTTCGAAGAACATGGGGTTAAATTGGCTGAAGCACTTCGGAAACGTCTTCTAGTCCTACCACTTGCAAATCCTCACACTTAGAAACCCTAAGCCCGTGAGCCCTGAACCCAACCTCTTCGAGTGAAAGCATGCTGAATTCTGCCGCAGCGACAGAGTGGCATGCAACCCCAAACTCCAAGCACAAAGACTTATTGTCATGGTGTGCGGCAGGCAACTCCGTCATCCTAAAATAATCAATGGATGCATGCACAGAAACTTACAGAAATCTTCGTTTTTGTGGGTGCAGTCAGGATGGCCTTATGTGGAAGCTCAAATTGGCCTACATAATTAACGGCAGCGAGAGGGAGAGAGAGAGAGAGAGAGAGAAAATATATACACACACTATGCCTTGGGGTTCCTTATTCTTGTACATGTAGTAAAACAGAACCAAAGTACAGATTTTTTTATCTGTTGAGGTCCTGCTGTTAGCTGACTCAGCCGACAAGGTGTGGGGCATCGACTTCTTCTCAAAGGAGCACTGCCAACATTCGTCGTCCTTTCCCTTCGTCTACCCAGTGCAGCCGTTGCTCTGCAAAGCTTAGTGGCTAAGCGCTGTCCAGGATGTCCATCAGGAGTTCTTGAAAACACGACATGAGCACAAGAGAGCCTCACACCGAAATGTGAGAACCCTGTTGGAGTGCTTCGTTTTTTGCCGCAGTCGGGGACAGTGCGGGCAGAGGGCGTGACTCCACAAGCCAGCTAACCCCGAACCATGCTTCAACTCTTCTCTGGATCTGCTGCCCCGAACTTTAGGGAAAACTTTGTCATAGTTGGGAAACATTTTGCATTTTTATGGGTACTTAAACCCGAAAAGGAATAGAAATGTATATTTTTAATCCTATCCCAAACATGAACTAGAAAAGGGGGCTCTTCAGGTCTAGATTCAAGACTCGAGGGTGCAAGGTTGTGAGGACTGAAAATTTCCGCCCGACTCTTTGCTGGTATCTGTTTGCGAAGAGCTGCTCCACAGCTTCCCTAAGGCTCAAAATGGCCCAACATGGCCTTAGCTAGTATGGTCTTTGGGCCCAAAGCCTTAAAATATGAGCGCTTGGAGCCTAAGGGCTTGCTTAAAATCCCAGAGTTCGCGCGAGGCTTCGCCTCCTTAGGGAGATTCAGTTTAGCCTTCCTGTCTTCCACTTGAAAAGTCATTCAGATCATCCGCCATCGTACCGAACCTTTCCAGAAGGATAAATTATTCTTCACGTGCATGCAACTGCATGTATGTGTTGTGTAGGGATTTGTCTAAGTAGCTGAGATGTGTGCGAACGCAGACACTCTGTCTACACAGGACAGGACCGTGCTATTCCCTCCTATTTTGTTCCTATTACGCATATTAATATGGACCAAGATCGGTTCTAATATGTTCTAATTATGACGGCCTCTTCATCAACGTCCAAGAATGGTCCGAGGACCTACAGCTGACAAGTTCGGATGCGAGTATGCTATATGACGGTATGACGGTATGTGTAAGCGAAACAAAAGATAGATATGCGTGTACATATATATATATATACATATGTGCACACTTGTCAGTATACAGTTTTCCTCATTCAGATGCATGCATGTATCTGTTTGTGAGGCAGTGTGCTTGATGTCGGTACTTCCTTCACATGGCCATATGGACTTTACTTTGCTTCCCGTGTTCGATCTGCTTCAATGTTGGCCGGCAAGAGTGCTTGGTTGCAGTTCTTTTGCTCAGGCTCACCCTTGGCATGTAACCTGGACACGATACATGGTTGCTTCAGGCTGACTTGACTCCATCCAGCCCACAGCACTTAGGGCCCGTAGACCGTAGCGCTCAGGAGCGTGGTGTAGATTGAACTTCCCGAGTCTCAGTCGCACCTCATGTGGCGAAGCCTACGGTGCAACGCGACCCGGTGACATGACTTGCTTCTCAGACCACGAGGCATCCATCCGCACGGTCGTGGGGAGACTCTTGAAACCTAATATAGATTAGGGTTCCCTTTAAAGGGATCTATATGGCTATAAGGGTTACTATAACAAGGGATCTAGGCAACGACCATCTATAAGGGAACTATAATATACTCTTTCTTTTTCATATTTGCTTGCTTGCTTCCGTTTGTTTGCGTGTGGGTGGGTGAGTGTCATACTGTAGCGTTGTAGTTGTGGGTCTTCTTCGTCTTTGCATTACTGTAGCCCGGAGTCATACTTGGTAGCCCTCAGCATCAGACACAGAACCCTGCAGTGCCTGGATGCACACGCGATCTAGCCCCGACAAGGCTGAATGTCCCATGAGGCAGCATTAAGCCCGTTAAGGCGACCTTCCATATTCTGTCAGGTTGGAACATGTCATGTTCAATGGAAAGCGAAGCTCCGTGCCACCTAGCGACGCTAAAGACCCTTCGTGCCGAATCGTGCAATAGCCCCTATGAGAAGAGAGCCATAGACTAACATACCGCTGGCATTCGGGTTTCCTCAAAGTCTAAGATTAGGGACCCAAAAAGCACATAAGCATAAGCATTTGATAGGGATATCTCTACCTTTTTGGGCTTCTTTATAAGGGGTTTATATGGGATAGCCCTGTATGACCTCGATGCCTCCCTGCAGCAGCTGGAAGCCTTCACACAAACTAAACTTGGAATATTGCGGTTGGGGCCGGGCTCTCCTGCGAAGCACCCACCAAGCGTTCGAGCCGGAAGCACTGTCCATGCCAGGCCAAGACCGCCCTGGAGCAATATGTAGAGACCATGCGCCGTGGCGTGCTGAGGCCTGCTTTTGCACCGTATTCAGCCAGCAGAAAAAACGGTGCCAACAACGAAAACGAGGATGACGGTTGCTGCTGCAACTGAGCGTCAGTGCCGCTACTGATGCAACCAGTGTTGTTGCCGGCGACCGCAAGTACTGCTACAGCTTTGCGAGTACTGCGTCTTCCATGGCTGGCTACGGCCACTGGCGCTGCCACTCCTACTTGGACTTCTAATCCCCCTTGTTGCTGCTGCTGCTACTCTGTCGGCGACTCCGACGACTACTCCGACTACGACTACGACTACTACTACTACTACTGCCACTACGACTGCTGCTGCTATTTCTTCTACTACTCCTATACACTACTACCACTACCACTAAACTACCACCACCACTACCACTACCACTACCACTACTTGTCGGGAGCCAAAAACTACTAGTGATAATAGTAACAATAATACAACAACAACTACTACCACTACTACCACTACTACCACTACTACCACTACTACTACTACTACTACTACTACTGCTACTACTGCTGCTACTGCTGCTACTGCTGCTACTGCTGCTACTACTGCTACTGCTACTGCTACAGCTACAGCTACTACTACTACTACTACTACTACTACAGTACTACTACAGTACTACTACTACAGTACTACTACTACAGTACTACTACTACTACCACTACTACTACTACTACTACTACTACTACTACTACTACTACTACTACTACTACTACTACTACTACTACTACTACTACTACTACTACTACTACTACTACTACTACTACTACTACTACTACTACTACTACTACTACTACTACTACTACTACTACTACTACTACTACTACTACTACTACTACTACTACTACTACTACTACTACTACTACTACTACTACTACTACTACTACTACTACTACTACTACTACTACTACTACTACTACTACTACTACTACTACTACTACTACTACTACTACTACTACTACTACTACTACTACTACTACTACTACTACTACTACTACTACTACTACTACTACTACTACTACTACTACTACTACTACTACTACTACTACTACTACTACTACTACTACTACTACTACTACTACTACTACTACTACTACTACTACTACTACTACTACTACTACTACTAGTACTACTACTACTATACTACTCGTACCCCTACTACTCCCGCGACTCCGACTACTACATGTACCCAGACGATCACAGGACTACTACCACAACCACTAGCCCCACCGCGACCACTGCTACTACTAGTTCAATATCAATACTACTACACTACTACCACGACTTTGACTACTACCACCATCACCACGACTGCTACTAGTACTGATGCTACTGCTCGTCCTCCTCCTCCTGCTGCTGCTGACGCACCCACCACCAGCACGACTGCTGCAGCAAGCGCTACCGTTTGTTTGGGTAGAACTGCGGGAATCTCTTTTGAGTTTTGTTTCGTGTTATAACCATTCTCATGTGTGCCACGCCACGAACCTGGCACCGCCCTGAACTCCAAAGCCAAGCTAAAGCCTGTGTTATCCATGAAGCCTCATGGCATCCTTCTGCACCACTTGAAAATTGTAAAGCCTCAAACAGTCTCACCTTTGAGACTCCGAACCAAAGGCCTCGCCTGGTTTGTCCGAGTGTGAGCGCCGAAAGGGAGCCTACAGTACGGTGTAGGAGGGTTCTGGAAGATGAGGTCCTCCAAAGGCCTTCTAGAACCCCGCAAGGGCTTTCTAGAACCTTGCAGAACCCGGATTCAACAAAGGAACGGTTAGGGTGCCATGAACACCCTCAAATTCCGCTAGAACCTAAGATAAAAGTTCAAATATCGCATTCTAATGATTCAATAAACTAAGCCCATAGCCCGCCTAAGCCCTAAACTGCTAAGAACATCCAGGTGATTCTCTCAGCAATGCAGGAGGCAAGCAAAAACAAACAAAACCCGAGAACCCGTCAAGACGTCCGTGACAGGAGATCCGTGAGCCCTCGGCTGCTTGGACCATACTTAGAGGTTCATGGGACTTAGTAAGTAAGGTCATAATTACGGTAACTATACTTCTAATTATTTATAACCCCGATTACGGTACTTATAAATGTACTTACTAAGTCCCATGAACCTCCAAGTAGCTGGGCTTTAGGGTTCAGGGGTGTTTGGGGGTTATTCTAGTATAGGGGCCGCCCGCCAACACCCTCAGGAGGCTTGGATGCAAAAAAGGGTTAAGGGGCTTGGGGCTTTTGGGTTTGGGCTTTGGGCTGGAAAGGGGTCCTTCCGGTTTTGGTTCAACTGCCGCACTCCACAGGGTACTTAGGATTTGGGTTCAAGGTTTCCAGACTAAGCTTGAAAGCGCTTCCGTTCCAGCTTTTTTTTTTCGGAGGGGGGGGGGGAATCTTAAACCCCCAAACCCTAAACACCCTGCAATGTGCATTGTTTCAACCTTTGGCCAGTGCATGAAACCCCCCACGTGCAAGGTGCAATCCTATAGTCTATCTAGGGACGTCGTTTTGGTATCATTGTCTGACTGCATGCTGCATGGATGTGATTAGCTTTGTATTGCAAGTGCATGAGTGCAGCAGGTCCCACATGTCCATCGCGTATCACCCTTCCATTCATTCGTATGAGTGGCCAATACGGCTGGCCAAAATCATTTAAAGATCATCGAGAAGATGATATGACGCAGATCATGATATACCTGGACTGACCCGGCCCCTATCATCATTGACATTCTGTAGACATATGTCACCTT